CCCCCCCTGCCCGTCGCTTGTTCTCTGTCCTTCTCGCGCTCCCGCCCCGCGTACCATGGCCGATGCGGCGGAGCTGGCGCACATGGCCCGGGCCCCGCACCCCCACCCGGCCCGGCGCGTCACCCAACTGGACTCGATCCGGTCGAACACCAGCCTGACCGGGGCGGTCGCGCGCATGCTGGATGACCTGCCTGATTTGGATCCCGACCGGCTGCTGGGCTTCCTGCGACCGGCGATCGAGTCGCTGAAGGTATGTCTTGGCCGGGCTGGGCATGTTTGTCACCCTCCGCCGCTCGCTCGCCACCCTCCGTCGCTGGCCGTGTGGGCCGCTCCTGACCCGGGCCCTCGCCGCCTCCTGCAGGCTCTGCTCCTTCGGCTGGTTCCCTTCCTGCCGCTGATCAGGCACCTGGCCCTGGACACAGATGGTCCTGATGCCTCGGCGATACCGCTGTCCTTTGGCCAGCAGCTGCTCGGGCTGTCCTTTGTCCCCGCGGATGGTATGTGTTCTGCTTGGCTGTGCATCTGGCCCCCGGGCTGTCGTCCCTGACCACCACCACCACCACCACCACCACCACCACCACCACCGGCCAGCCGTCGGGGCCTCGAAGACCGGGCCGGCCACCCTTCCCAGCCCCGGGCGCCGACGGCTTCTCCAATTTCTAGTTCTCCATGCGCTGGTCCCCTGGGCTGCCGAGCATGCCGAGACCCTGCTGACCCAGCTGTCCCTGGCTGCGGAGGCTGACAATGTGGCTGCCGGGCCAGCCGGGCAACTGCCCAAGCCGGTGCGTGGTACTTTGCCGCGCGAATGCCGGGCCCGCGGGCCTGGCTCCTGTCGGTATGGCCCACTGACCCGCGCGCGCGCAGACGGGTTCCCTGATTCAAGTGGCACTGCAGGCGGTGCGCATCACGATGCGTCTGACGCAGCTGGCCCAGCTGGTCAACTTCCTTGGCTTCCTCTTTGGTGGCAGGTCCGCGCCCGTTGTGTCTTCCCTTCCGCTGGCGCGTGCGCCCGCATCCTCCCTCTTCGCCCGGGGCTCCGATGCTGACCGAATGCCGTCATCCTGCGTGCTGCTCCCCCCCTCCCCCTGTCTCCGAGACAGGTACCCCACCCTGTCGAGTCGAATCACTGGCCTGCAACTGTATCCGGCCGGCGAGCGGGCCTTTGGGCCGCCTTCCGCCGCCGAAGGGTCCTTCCCCTGGATGCACCGTGACATTTTGTGGGATGCGGTTGGGGTGCGCACCGGCCGATGCACGAGCCTCGGACACACACAATGCCCGTCCATGCTGTCCGTCTGCCTAACACAGGGCCCGTGATGGGCAGACATTTGCCTTTTTCGCCGGGCCCTACATCCCGCCGATGGTGGATCTGGCCGCTGGGCTGGGCCGGCACGCGGGCCGGGCGCTGGCCGCCGGGGCCCGGGCGCTGCTGGCCCCCGACGAGAAGCCCGCCGCAAAAGCGGCGCCAGTCGCCGGGGTCCCGCCGGACGCCCCGTTTGAATGTGCCTTTTGCCGGTGCGTTGCCTTCCGGGCGCCCTTCCTCCCGCCGGGCGTGGGCTTTTCGCCGCGCTTCCCGTCTGCTGACAAGCGGCGCCTGCCCTGGCTGTGCCCCTCTGCGGGCTTTCCGGCCGCCAGGGCCCCGGAGGCCGCGGTTGCCGTGGCCATCGCCCCGTGCGGCCACCGGGCATGCTACACGTGTGTCGGGGGCGCCCACGCCGCGCGCGGGATCCCGCTTCGCTTTGACACCGGGTCCGGGCCGCAGGGCGACCCCGCAATGTCGACCTTCGTCCTGCCGATGCCGCCGGCCGGTCGGACTCCGCCGCTGGTGGCCGAGCCCCTCGTCGGCGAGGTGGCCGCCCCGGCCCCGGATCCCGGGCCACAGTCGGTCCTGGAGGTGGTGTCCGGGCTGGCCCTTTTCCCGCTGGAGTGTCCGCGCTGTGCGACGGCCATCCAGGCGGTGGCCCTCTGGCCCTAGAGGCGAAATACACGCACATGCGCGCATACGCACACACACACACACACACACA